GTTTGCTTTTCAGAAATCTCTGCGCGGCAGTTAGAAACTGCTGCGCGGGGGTTTCTTTTCACATGCGCAGCCGCGCACCTTAGAGGGAACAGTGGTGTGGTAGCTAGGGTTTGCGGGCTGGCAGGTCCACGTGGGGCATGTTCCCCCAGGAAATGGGTGGGACCAACTGCGCATGGGGCTTATAACGAGCTTATTTTCGGGGGAGGTCTTGTTTTGGGGAAAACAGGTAGCAAACTTTAATATTCTTTCTTAGAAAGAATTGAATAATTAATTAAATAATTAAATAACTATTCTTGTATAATTAAGCTGCATACAGGGAATGTAATAGATGGAGCCTAGCTTGAAATTAAACAGGGGTGATGTGACTCTGTTCCAATTCCCAAGTCTATTTGTCACCAGGCCTGGGGTAGGTTGCTGCCACCATTACTGCCAGTTTTCTTCACGCTGCACACTTAGCTTTCATGCACACTGCATGTTGCTTGCGCATGAACAGTTGCCTGTAAACTTAGTCATTATTAAATGACTCAAACATGCCGGCAAATGCATGTGTGACTGGGGAACTGGTTCAGGGGCGTGGCTAACCAGGCATCCCTATCGGTTCGGCAACCCAGTTGCAATTTCCACTACTGGTTCACTACCTCTGCACCAGGCCAATTGAAGTAGGAATCCACAATGCCTCTTCTGTTAGGAAACTAGGGCTAAAAGGGGGCCCGCAGGCAGCAGCCTGTTTTCAAATCCATGAATCCTATCAAAAGCACTAGTAGTACATGTGTCTCTTTTAACCGACCTTCTGGATCTGGAAGAGAATGCCATTAGTAAAGGCTGTGCTGATCTTTATATCTTCCCTTTGTACTTTGGTATAAAATTCCATACCAAATTTGTTCCTTGAAATATATGTTCCATGTTGCTGCATAACCTTTGTTCAGATTAATGCTGAACAAAGAATATGTAGCTGCAGGATCCAAGTTTCCACATGAGGATCAAAAGCAACTTTTTTGAATCTGTACATGCCCAGCAAATCATTTTCCACTCCAGATTCATTGAGTAAACTGATTGGAGAACATGTGTTCATGAAAGGTATTAGTGCAACTGGTTTCTTAGGTAACCTTTGTAATTACAATCTAGAATTCTAAAAAGAACGGAGGAATCACAGGACAATCTCATTATTATAGGAATGGATCTAATGGCAATAGGGTTTAAGTACTGTAGTCAATACATTGATAGTAAATTATTGTTTATTTTAGAATTATCCTAAAGCATGCAAGAATACATATCCAGAATTAGTTATCTACCATTTTACAATACATTAGCAGGAAGATTAGTATATGTCATTTTTATTTAAGTAATTTATTTGAGAAATACTCAGATGTTTCTACTTGGAAACCTCTTTTGGACTTTGTGCTTGAGGTGGAAAAAAATGAAACTTTGATTTTAGGTTTTGCTGATTAGATAAGATTGTTGCTATAGAAATTGTCAGAGTATATTGCTGCATATAAAAGTAGAAGTTGTACATTATTATCTTATTCTAAAGGCTGCCAAAAGGAGTCAGCAGTCAATGCTTTTTTCTTCTTCTTAACCTACACTTTTTCCTCTGCCCCTTTGACTTCCTTATTTTTCCATTATTTTTATTTCTGTATTTTATATTTTGATTAAGTAATAAAATATAATCATGTAAAATAGTCTATTAATGGGAAAGAAAAACTATTTCCTTTGGATCATAATCTGGCGCTTGCTCACAGACAACGTTCAAAATAAACCACTAACAAAAGCAGTGAGTAACTGGCATAAGCACTTGATTCACTGTATAATCAAGCTCAAGATACTGCCCTTTAGTCATGCACACAGTCTCCAAACTTTTTTTTAATACAGCTCTCAGAGCCCAGATTGGATTGGACCCCCCAAAAATCCACAAAGTATACTAACTCTTTATACAGATCTATTTTAGAAGCTGAGCAGAGTTGGCCTTGATTAATATGTCTGAGTCTGTTTTCTAGTCTAGGAAGTTTTTTAAAAAAAAAGACAGAAGAAAATAGAAAAGGCGAACCTCATTGATTACACAAAATTGCATGGATGCAATCAGCAAGAATTGAGTTCATTTCCCCCATCCCATCCCAAAATTATTCTTATACATAGATGTGGTATAATTATCATATTGCCTAGCCACCAATGGCTGTTCAATATATTTGAAGTTTGCCACAAGAAGGTTGCCTGTTCTGGGCACTTTTGAGTTAAGCAGAATCAATGATTAAGCAGACATTAATCCAACATCAGGAAAGGCTTTATTAAGGATCAGTTGAGGAACACTTCCTTCTCTATGCTAGAATGTACTGTGATTGATCTTCAAGCGTCCATTCTTGACCAATTTCCCAAGGAAAGTGGAGCAATAAAGCACCAAATTAACTGGAAAACATTACTTGTGACTCCGGCATCTTGAACGAGGATGTTTCTTAAACCATCCTTACATATATTCATTAGCCCCCAGCAAGTTTTTACTATCAGTGGCAAGCCTTTTATGAATGGCCTTGTAAATAACACTTCCTGCATCTTATCACTTCTTACTTAACCCACCTGCAACTACACGCCCACACATTTCATGCTGAGGGTAACATTTCAGGCTGCTAATGTAATGGATAAAGTAATAAAAGGTTTATGATCCCAGGGCTTCAGAATGCTCTTGTCAAGGGGTGGCCCTTCAGTGAAACAGCTGCTCCAACTACTAATCCAGTACATATAGAAGTGAGGCCTCTCCACTCCCACCTGCAGCACCCTCTGGTTTATTACCTCAGTAACTCATTCATTGGGCCCAAAGGGGTGTGTAATGCTGAAGGTGTCTGTGTGTTTGCCTGCACAGGTAGCTGCTATGGCCACCATACCATAATTAGTGCTCTGAGGACCTGCTTTATAGGCCAGCTGGTAAGATCTCTTGGGTCATCCCAGGAAGCTGCCTTACTTTCTTCTGCAGCAATTCTTTTAAAAGGCTACCGCCCTCTGCACATTCCTCTCTTCTTGATTTACAGTTGGATTTTTCTTACCCTGAGTAATTTTATATAACTCAAGTGAAGTTTTCTAAATACTACAGTGGAAAAATCACCCGGGGCTTCTAAAGAGTTCTTACGCGTAATATATTTTAAAAATGCCCTTAAATAATTGAGTAGAATTGTAACTGACTTGCATACTAGTTAGAAACAGAGTGCATTTTCTGAATATGCATTTCACTATCTCCTATACCCTTATCCAACTATTTAAAGGAGTATCACTTTGACATACTGTAGGCACTGATTTATTTCTAGCCTATCACAGCCTGTGCCCTTTGTCATAGGAGTAACTATTATCACTTTATTTAAACAAGCACATTTAAAAAAATAGTGCTAACACCCAGTCTGGCTTCTTTT